GCATTAAAAGCCGTTAGTGTCGGTTTGCCCCCGAGGCTTTCCTTTTCACAGAAGTTGTCGGGTAGGGGGTCTTTAGAGAGGCCCAACAGCTGGTTTTGCTCAAGCAAAGAATCATATGGTGACTCTTTAGATTCGTGGTAGGCAAACATGGCAAGCACGGATGGGGGCGGTGTTTCGGGCAGCTTGTTGGATGGTATTATTGGGGAAAGAGTGATTCTCCTAGTATTCAAGAAGAATGAATACGAGTTGGTAAAGCCATCATAGGAAACTCGCCGATCATATAACCATGGTCTTCCGAGTAGGAGATGACAAGCTTTCATGGGAATCACATCGCATAATCAAAGTGGACATCCCGACCTTTGAAGGAAGGAATGACCCGGACGAGATTCTAGAGTGGCTAGAAACGGTGGAACGCGTCTTCGATTTCAAAGAAGTTTCCGATGAGAAGAAGGTCAAGATAGTGGCCTTGAAGTTCCGCAAGTATGCATCCACGTGGTGGACCAATACTTGCACCAAAAGAAGAAGAAATGGTAAGGAACCAGTGTCTACTTGGACTAAGATGAGGTCCCTCTTGAAGAAGAAGTTCTTACCCGCTGAGTACGTTCGTGAGAATTTTGCTAAGCTCCAAACACTTAAGCAAGGTTCAAAGTCCGTGGAAGATTACAACCGAGAGTTTGAGGAACTCTTGCTGAGGTGTGACTTACAAGAAGACGATGAGCAAACCTTTGTACGCTACCTTTTTGGCTTGAACCTACAAATAGCCAATACGGTGGAGTTACAAAGCTACGAGACCCTCGAGGAGCTCACCAAGTTAGCCCTAAAAGTTGAGGCACAAATCAAGAAGTCCAAGTCCCTCTTTTCCAAACCCAACCCTACCTATGCACAGCCTAACCCAATCTCCCAAAAACCCACCTATTATCCTTCCAAAACACCCCCTACTGCCCACGGCCAAACCCCCAACTCCTCAACCCCAACACCGTCCAAAAACCCCTCCACCTCCTTCCCTACAAGGGCTGATCCCATCAAGAAAGCCCCTATTTGTTTCCGTTGTCAAGGGGGCGGTCACGACGCTAACGAGTGCCCTAATAAGAAGGTTATGGCGATCGTTCAGTGTGACGAAGAAGATTGCGACCCAACTTGGGTCGAAGAAGAAGTTGAAGAAGCGGACGAACAAGATGAGTACGTTGGTCCCGATGATGGTGAACTCCTGGTCATCCGTAGGACTTTGAGCACTCTAGTATGCCCCGAAGAACAACTACAACGGGAAAATATATTCCATACCCGTTGTACTGTCCAAAAGAAGGTGTGTTCCCTCATCATTGATAGCGGGAGTTGCACCAATGTGGCTTCCAAAACCATGGTGGACAAGCTGCGTTTAAAGACGTCACCTCACCCGAAACCGTATACGATTCAATGGTTGAATCATGGCAAGGGTTTACGTGTTGACACACAAAGCCTCATTTCCTTAAGCATTGGCGGTTTGTATAAAGACGAAGTATGGTGTGATATCATTCCGATGGATGCATGCCACATCCTCTTGGGATGACCATGGCTGTTTGATCATCGTGTGCAACACTTATTCATTTTTGATGAATAAGAAGAAGATCACCCTTACCCCTTTATCCCCTCCTTCAGCCACGACCAAACCAACCAAAGAACACCCCCCGTTCTTATCTCCACTATCTTACAATCCGAGCAACACGAACTCCATGGGATTAAAGACTTAATCCTTTTGGAAGATGGAGAAACCGAACCCCACACTCCCCCAAAACATCCCCATCCTCTAGCTCAACTAATCCTTGAAGAATACCCCCATGTATTTCCTGACGATGTACCACACGGCCTCCCTCCTTAACGGGACATACAACAGAAGATTGACCTTATTCCAGGGGCTGCCCTACCCAACAAACCGGCATATAGGATGAATCCCGAGGAGACAAAAGAGATTCAACGTCAAGTTGATGAGTTGCTAGCTAAGGGCTTCGTGAGAGAAAGCCTTAGCCCATGCGCTGTCCCGGCACTCTTGGTGCCTAAGAAGAATGGAACGTGGCGTATGTGTTGTGATAGTCGATCTATCAACAAGATCACTATCTTTATGGCCATGGGTTAGGGTGCAAACCTCCTGTACAACCTGCTCGACGTACCGAGTTTTTAGAAAAGTTTTCAACTAGATTCCTCACCGATGGTAGTTTAAGCGTAGAAGCTTCCTCTACTCACCTTTTGTCGCAAGTTCTGCTTCAAGCCCGACATGCTTACCAACCAGTACGGTAAGCCTAATTGGTTACGGGGCTGTACATTCATGAGACTTATGAATCAAGTCTTGAAGCCATTCATAGGTCATTTTGTCGTCGTATATTTCGATGATATTCTGATTTATAGCAAGAGCGAAGAAGAGCATGTTAATCACCTCACTTTAGTGATTAAAAGGTTGGACGAAGAGAAGCTGTACGGGAACCTCGAGAAGAGCCAATTCTTCTCTCGAGAAACGGAGTTATTGGGATACTTTATCTCAAGCGAGGGCATCAAGGTTGACGAGAAGAAACTCAAGCCATTCGAGATTGGCCCATTCCCACCTCCATGCAGCAAGTTAGAAGCTTTCATGGGCTTGCTTCCTTCTATCGGAGATTTGTGAAAGATTTCAGTACCATAGCCACACCCATCACGGATTTGACTAAAAATCAGAAGTTTGAGTGGAATCCCAAGGCCCAACGAGCATTTGAGACGATCAAGGAACGATTAACACATGCCCCTGTGTTAGCCCTTCCTAGCTTTGACAAACTATTCGAGGTGGAGTGTGATGCCTCGGGAGTTGGAATAGGGGATGTCCTATCTCAAGAAGGGCACCCGGTGTCATTCTTTAGCGAAAAGCTAAATGATACGAGGAGGCGGTATTCCACCTACGACAAGGAGTTCTATGCTTTGGTGCGATCCCTTGAACATTGGCGCCATTACCTTATAAGCAAAGAGTTCATCCTACATTCCGATCATGAGGCCTTGAAATACATCCAAGGGTAACATAAACTCCGACCCCGTCATGCCAAATGGGTCGAGTACATCCAAACCTTCACCTTCACCATCAAACACAAAAACGGAAGCATGAACAAGGGCGTCGATGCCTTGTCACGGAGACATTTATTACTAACGGTACTTAGTACCAAACTTGTTGGTTTTGAGTGTTTGCAAGAACTTTACAAGGAGGATGAAGACTTCAAGGACACTTATTTTAAGTGTTTATCTCGGCCCCATGGTGAATTTCTTATCAAAGATGGCTATCTTTTCCGTGATAATCAACTATGCATCCCGAAGTGCAGCGTTCGCGAAACCCTCATCGACGAAGTCCACGGAGGAGGCCTAGCTGGTCATTATGGAGTCGACAAGACTCACATGATGATTAGAGAACACTACCATTGGCCTAAGATGGAGCGGGATGTAGAGCACTTCATCAAGCGTTGCAATACTTGCCATTTAGCTAATGGACATTCGCTGCCCCAAGGAAAGCACCTGCCCCTACCCGTTCCCAATGCACCATGGGAAGACATCAGCTTGGATTTCATCACCGGGCTGCCAAGGACTCAACGAGGAAAAGACTCCATCATGGTTGTGGTGGATCGTTTTTCAAAAAATGGCTCATTTCGTGGCATGTGTTACAACGTATGATGCATCTCAAGTGGCTGATCTCTACTTCCGAGAGATCGTAAAACTCCATGGCGTTCCCCGAAGCATGGTCTCGGATAGGGATACGAAATTCCTTAGCCACTTTTGGACGACTCTGTGGAGAAAGTTGGGTACTAAACTCAAATTTAGTACAGCAAGCCACCCCCAAATGGATGGGCAGACTGAAGTTACCAACCGAACCCTTGGAACTCTTCTCCGAACCCTCATAAAGAAGAACATCAAACAATGGGAGGAGTTGCTACCGCATGCCGAGTTTGCTTACAACCGAACTCCGAACAAGACTACCGGACTATCTCCTTTCACCATTGTCTATGGTTCGAATCCCCTGACCCCACTAGAACTTGATCCTATCATGACGGATACCAAGTATAGTTGGGCAGCAGACAAGAGATTGAAGGAAATTCAGGACCTTCACAACAAAGTTCGAGACAAAATCGAAGCTATGAATGAGAAGATTAGTGCACGCATCAACAAAGGAAGGAAGGACGCCCACTTTCAACCAGGAGATCTTGTTTGGATTCATCTGAGGAAAGAGCGTTTCCCAACGAAACGCAAGTCGAAGCTGTTACCGAGAGCCGATGGACCCTTTCAGATATTGGAGAAGACAATGCCTACAAAATCAACCTTCCACGAGACTATGGAGTATCAGCCACATTCAACATCAAGGACATCAGCCCGTACTTTGATCCTGAAGAAATTCCGAGTTTGAGGACAAACTCTTTTGAAAAAGGGGAGGATGATATACCCCGGGCGACTACCAACGACTCTAAAGTCGTTAAGCAAATTAATGGAATAATGTCTAAATGTTATGATCCCTTTTGGACCGAGCTTATCAATCCTAAAACCCGCCACATAGCTATAATTTCCCTGAGCCCAACTCCCACTTAAAACTCAGCCATTCTCATCCAAACCAATCCCCTAAATATCCAAAAAAATATTAAACCCCAAAACTATATTTCTTTTCCTTACCTTTCCTCCCTCCATCCCTAACCAAAAACCTTAGCCCTTAACCATGCCATTACCACTTCCTTACACCTCAACTTGGCTAAACAAACAGCCACAAAAATCCAAGACACTTTGGCCCACACCCACACCCTTCAACCCCATTTGATTCCCCCATATCCTGCCCAAGAAATGCATCCAAATAGCCTACCATCCAACTTTTCCTCCTGCCCAAAAACAGCCCCACCCAAAGCCAATCAATTGTGAATTATATTCACATATTCCCTCCTACCACTAATGGCCAAGAATCCTACCCTACAAGTACAATCACCTCTGTGTTTTCCCCCACCAAAAGAACATCAACATGTGCCCATTAATTCCTTTAGTTTGTGTGAATAAGAGACTTGGTAGTCTCCTTTTTCTATGCTTATAAAAGCTCACCCCTGAGCATTGTAAACACACATATTGTATTCCCATTTTCAACTTAGTAATACACTTGTTTGTGTGTACTATTTTAAATTCCTAAATCAATATCTTAAGAGTGGTTCTCTTGAGTGTGAGTTTTAGATTCTAGTTATTTAAATAAGTGTGTAATATCTTATTTGAATGCTAGATTCAACCCCAAGTTAAGATAAGAGTGTGTAATATCTCTTAAACACCAACTTGGTTTGCTCCCCTTTCCCAAAGAATACTTCTTTTCCTTTCCCGAGCCGCCCGATAGTCGATTATCACTTTTGACAATCGAGTATCCCTCCTTCTCAAAACCCCCACAGCCTTCAATAGTCGACTGTCAATCTTAGACAATCGACTATCAGCTTCCTCAGAAAATTCTACAGCCCACAATAGTTGACTGACTCCATCTGGTCAATCGACTGACTACCTCTCCTGAAACTTCTGAAAATTCTCTCGAGAAACTAAAGCACCTGTTAGTCGATTATCATACCTGGATAATCGACTATCCTCCTTTCCTGCACTTTAAGAAGCTTTGTTCTTAAAATTAAAGCCTCATCCCTGAGCTCGGGTCTAACATAATCTAGGGGCAATAATGCATTGCTAGATACCTCTTATTGCTTATAGTATTGGTGTAGAGCCAATACTATGCCCAACTTTATAAGTGCCTATGGAGTAGGATTAAACAATGAGATAATAAGTAATTTGTATATTTGTAAAATAGAAAAATAAAATATTTTGGAATATAATATTATATATATAATTTGTTTATATATATATATATATATATATATATATATTTATATATATTTGTACCGATTAATATATAGATATATAGATATTATATATTAAATATTTTATTTTGGTTTGTCATTTTAATTATGAAAATAATTATTTTGACATAAACTATTTAAAGTATATTTTTGTACTTGTTTAAAATGATATTGGTATTTTTATCTGAATTAAAATTAATTTTATATTAATTTTTGGTGTCAAATAAAATACAATTTAAACACTTAAGTGGGGGAGAATTTTATAAATCCTTCTCATATCTTTGTTCGGCCAAGTTAGGATTTCAAGAATAAAATTTTCTTTGATTGATTTTTGAGTGAGCTAATTGATTTGTCATTTAGCTAATGACAAAAATCAATTACATTCCTTTGTTTAGTTATATACTCCCATCACACCAATTTCAAAGGTAGTTAAGAAAGAGATTAGGCTATTGAATTTCTAGAGTGAGAAAGTGATTTTTGGGGTTACATTAATATCATTTTGTATATAGAAAATATCTATAATATCTTCTAAATATTATTAGAAATATTTTCTATAAGAAATATACAAGATTATTATTATCTCAATTTTAATCTTTATATTTTATACTACTATAATCTTTACTAGCATAAGGATTGTAGTAGACTCCGGCGTTGTTAGTGTGTCAAAGTTGGAGACCGGACGCTTGAACGGTTACGTTTGCACTTTCAACGCTCTTCCTACGACTTCTTCGTTTTTACCATTTCTGGTGAAAGGTATAAATTTCTTACTTACTATACGTTTTAGTACGTGATTCTGAGCAAGATAATCATGTTAGGATGTTAAAATTTTTATATTCCACTGCCTATCCTTGCATGGTTACATGGTTACCTTACAAGGCGATGCGCGGGATGAAAACCTTAGCCGGGTCAGGTCACGTAGGAGAATCGCGCGGAGAAAAGGTTATTTATGCTATATGTTTTATATTGTTTCAGAATAAAAATTAAGTTATTTGAGAATGAGTACTATTGTAATTCAGAAATGAACACTACGTTATTTGTGGATGAATATTATAATTGTAATGAATAAATATGTGAAAATAAGTACTACATTATTTCAGAATGAGTACTATGTTATTTTAGAATAAGTACGATGCTATTTCAAAATAAATACTCTCTAGTAATCTACATTTCTACTCTGCCTATGTCTAAACCTTCTCGTCCACTACCAAACGCCCTCCTTTAAATTCTAACCATTTGCTCTACCCAATTGCATACATTCTTCCGGATTTTCAGTCTTCCGCCATGCTCGTCTTTGTGCCATAGTTTCGAGCTTCAATGGATCCTTACCAAGAACAGCGTCTCAGAGAAGAAGTGATGTACCTCCATTCTCTCTGGCATAGAGGCCCACCGCGATCCCAAAACCCTATCCCAAATCCGTATTTCCTCCGCCCAACAACATTCGTTAGAAGGGGATACTTACCTCCCGTGAAACGGAGCAGAATCCAGAGGGAATATTCAGATCCCGGAATTGATTGGTCCTGCAAAATAAGAAAAGATACGCGGCGGGCAACTGCTCCTGGTTGGCCCAGTGTCTCCATTCAGTCAAGTTCCCAACCCCGTTCGCTAACCCCAAAAGAACAGGCCCGGATGGATTCTATTCAGGCCCAAAAAGCGGCTTTGAAGGCCGTAAGTGATTTTCTAAGCTGTAGATACAACGCCGATGGAGAAGGAAACGAGGATGAATGCATAGATGAATTTGAGGAAGGAGACATGGATGATACAACTGAGGGAGAAGGGTGCAGGAACTTTGATTTTTTTGAAAAATTGTATGAGACTGACAGTGCACTGAGGGTCATGATGCACTACTTGATACGTCCACCCCTTAAGTCGACAGACCACACAATGCGTCACCCCTTCTCTTCACACTTCTTCATGTTTCTGACAGACCGAAATCAAGTTGTAAGCCAAAGACACTGGTTCTGCTTCCCATCCGTCCGAGTAGCCCGTATACCCGTCAGGTAAACATTCTAATATCCTACCCTGTAGTTAGTACTACCCTCTAGCATTGCTTCCTCACTACAAAATAAACTTGGCCCGTCTTCTAATAACCTGGTGGATGGTCAGGTAATTGTGTCATCAATCATCATTTGTTTTGAGTATTCAACTTTTGGTTAGTTTTCTACTCAATATGTAACCAAGAGCTACATAGTCTGGACTGGAGTTTATCAAATAACCAGCCAGGTTTGAGTTTTCAAACCTCTAAATGCGTAAATAATGGGCATTATTGCTATAATTCAAGATGCTTGAATTATCCATGAATGAAGACGTTGGAATGAGTGGTACGACTTAGCTAAAATATTATGCCAAGCTTGACAACCATTGATGCATTTGACATGAGTAACTGACTAACTGTTTTCACGTGACAGGAGAACAATAATGGCTCTTTCAAAGATGCTTTGACTATTTCAGGCAGTCATGCTGAGGTTGTGACTATTGATAATGGTGGATCTGCACCTTTTGAGGTCTGTTATATTGCACTATTACTGGTTTTGGTATACATGTTTATCATAGGCGGTGAAAAGTTTTGTATGCGACATTGGCATGGACAGGGTCTTTGAAAAGTCAAATCTTGGGTCGGTCAGGAAAATAACTTATTCATGATACTTTTTATAGTAAAATTTCAATACACGGATAGGAAGTATTTATCAAACTTGGGTGGCCAGGACTACCCCCCTCCCCAAAAGCTATGCCGATGGTCAGAGATTGTATATAGCTTGTTAAAGCAGATTGCTTTGTGCTGTATGTATATTGCAGGAGAACATTGATAATGGCGTTAAAGATGACTTAAAGCCCCCAGACAGTGCTATTGACATTTTGAATGGTCAGGGTGATGAAATGTCTTTTCAAAACAAGTCCTTTAGCATTGACAACTGGCAAGATAACACTCGTAGTGAATCTGCTGTTCTTGAGGTTAGTTATGGGTACTATTTAAGTTTTAAATGTGTGCCTTTCCTAATTTGGAGTTTACATGCCTTTTCTAGTATGTCTATGGCTACATGTTGAGTTTTTTGGACCAATAATTTCTTCTATGCTATGTGTGGTTGTCATATCCTTTCTTTTGTTCTTTTTATACTCTTTTCTCGTGATATGATTGGATATGTGGTGGATGTAGCTGTAGTTTCCAGATATATGTTGGCGGAAGGGTGCGATGAACACATGAAGTGTCGAAGTGTAATCGTGTAAATTACCTAGACCGAGCTTACTGTTCCAGACCGGTGGAAGATAGTGAGCTATGTCTATAAACTAATTACCAAACTACAACACAAGGTCACCGAAAAACGATAGAAGGAAACACTTGTAGTATAATATTTATTAATAGTTTGTGTATTGAGAAAATACAAAGGTAGACAACCATAGTTTGTAAGGCGGCAAGGCGAGGCGAGGCGCCAATGTACCTTCATATCGCCTAGGCGACGACTAGGTGACATACATACCTACATATATATATGTATATATATATATATACATATACATACATATATATATATATATATATATTTATATATTTATATATTGATGGGCCCAAACAATCATACCCAATACGCTTTTGGTGCCGCTGGATGGCGTGTGGGTCCCTCTGTGTCTTCCTTGAAACTAACACTTGCCCTTTAAATAGACGAATAATTTTTCACCCGGGCTTAGAGTTATAGCCCAGGCTACATTAATGTGTTTGATGATTAACCCACAACAATTACGCAAATCTTTTATAAGACAATCTCTTGAAATTTTTTGAATTGGTGTATGACTCCAGTTGACTAGGTATTTTTGTTTGAATGGTGCTATTCGGACTGGGTTAACATCGGAGAATTAACTATGATGATTTTAAACCATTTCCATGGTCCAAGAGCACCCATTTTGCAACGCCCCTCTGCTAGGTTTTAAGTTTTTATGTCCCTTTATTAAAGCACTATCCTAGGCTAGGGACGTAATCCTTTGCCTGGGAAAGTCTTCCCTGAAAAGGGATACATGTGAAAGCAGCGTAAGATCATTCTGGGAATGGCTCACATTTTTTATGGGCATCTTTTAGTTTCCGCTAGTCCTTTTGTTCTAGCATGCTCTCCCTACCTGATCGGATTTCGCAAGAACGTGTAAGTACGGTTTGTTGGTTTCAAACCCTCTTCAAGGTTCCGCCCTCTTACAGGAATTCTCTGAATTTGGATCCTCTCAAATGAGAGTTTACATGAGTATTTATAGGTGATGATTCAGTGTCGTGTAGACATGATGTTTACAATAGCATGTGAACAACCAGTGATTGATTTTATTCCAACCAATTACTTTAGCCTTTTAGACTTTCTTGTCATTGATTACTGAGTGCAAACACTCAAATAGAATATGCTTTTGACACCACTCGATAACGTGTGGGTCCCTTAACGTTTCTTCCTCGAAACTGCCACTTTCCCGATCTATAGACAAATAATTTATCACCCAGGCTTAGAGTTATAGGCTGGGTGCATTAATGTGTTGAATGATTAATATGAAGAGCATCATTTTTGAATGTCTATGTCCTTAGCGCGGTTGAGTTTTCGTCAGTTTGCCACGTCTAACCTTTGTTGGGAAGAGCTGACTGTACTGTTAACTTAGTCAATATTGGGTTTATACCCATCAAAGTGAATTGATAATTGAGTTCGATAGATAACACCTTTTTCCCGCTCTTTCTTCAGCTACCAATATACAACAACAAAGCCTTATCCCACTCTGCATGGATCAAACGACGCTATTGCACCCTATCATGTATCATATTTACTGTGAGATCATTCACGTGAATGTCTCCTTTGATCAATGCTTGGCCAGTTCTCTTAGGTCTACCTCTTCTTCTAGCCACATGCTTATTCACCATTTGATCAGCCCTTCTCACAAGATGCTCTAGTGGTCTTCTCTTCACATGTCCAAACCACCTAAGACGAGTTTCCACCATCTTTTCTACAATAGGTGCCTCTCCAACTTTAGCTCTCATATCTTCATTCCTCATTCTATCCATACGCGTATGACCGCTCATCCAACGAAGCATCTTCATTTCCGCCACACTAACCTTGTGTTCATGTTAACCCTTTCTTGCCTAACACTCATACAATATAGGAGTACGGTAAAATTTTCCCTTTAGTTTTAAAGGTACTTTTTTGTCACATATAAAGCCCAAAGCACCCAGCCATTTTGACCAACTGGCTTGAACCCTATGATAAACATCATCCTCTCCATTGTCTTGAATGATACACCAAAGATATTTAAATCTCTTTACTTGTGGTATAGTATTTTCCTCAACTTTCACATCCATAGCTAGCATTTTCTTAATTGTATTTACAGAAATCTACCTAAATAAGACTAAAACATGAAACTTATATCAGAATAAGATATCTTGTGTTTTTATCCCTAAATAGTAGTGTTGGCACTGTAAACGCCGCAGTTTGAGATTGTGTGCTGCCATTTTAGAGTGTTTTTTGGCATAATGCATTATTTAGCATTATAAGTCTTGTTTTGGTATAAAAACATTGTGAATCCTAATTTGGGCCATGAAACATGATTTGGTCCTAGTTAAATTCATTTGATGTGAGTTTGATTTGTTGATTTTGTGTTTATCATGCATCTTTATTGATCTGCTGTTGGGACATAATTATGTGGTGCCCTATTAGTCCTACATTTTTATAGCAAAACTTCTGCACAAGGATATAAATTTTTACAAAACTTGGATGTGTCAAGACTCCTCCCTCCTACCTTCAACTATGCCAATGGTCAGTGATCATACGGTATATCAGTATATGGCTTGTTCAAGCATGTTGTTTTCATGCTTTGTGTTGTTTTATGTTGCAGGGTAACATTCAGAACTGTGTTAAAGATGGCTTAAAGCACCCAGACAGCGCTGTGGACGTTGTGAATGGAAATGTTGGTGAACTGTTTCCCCAAAACAAGTCCTCTAATATTGATAGCTCACAAGATAACAGTGGCAGCAAATCAGCGGTGTTGGACCAATCTTGACATTCAGTAATAGTTAGGGGGTTTATTTTGTAAATATGTTGAAGTCTTTATTTGTTAATAATTAGGGTAGAGTCAGTCATAATTTTAGGAAATATATCTCAGATGGATTTGAGATTATCATAGCTTATAGGAGTAGGAGATGTTATGCTTGGAGAGCAAGGCTGATGATTTAACTTGGTGGACAAGGTTAACTCATCTATAAATAGGGATAGTTTCTCTGTATTTTATGCATTCAAAGTTTTTCAATTAATTGGAGAAGGATTTCCAATAAGTTCTTGTTCTAGATTTCTGTTTTCTGTTTATCAAGATCTGGTACCAATAACTTCAATTGGTATCAGAGCTGAGTTCGAAGGGCCTGAAACTCTCCTGATCCAAAAGGGCTGGATCAATTACCAGATCCGAAGACAGGGCAGAAGTACAAGCGTCGATCTAAGAACAATACGATGGCTGATGCCAACAACCAGGTTGCGGTAATCAAGGATAACAACAAGCTTCCATTCCAGTGTCCGATCCTAACCGCGACTAATTATCCCATCTGGTCGCTTAGGATCAAAGCAATTTTCAAGGCGTACGAAATCTGGGAATCGATTGATCCTGGAACAGATGTCGATCGGAAAAAGGATAATTCCGCTATCGCATATTTGTACCAGGCGTTGCCAGAGGATTTGATTCTTCAAATCGCAGATTGCACCCACGCAAAGGAAATCTGGGATGCAATTAAGACTCGTCATCTTGGAGTTGAACGAGTAATGGAGGCTAGACTTCAGACTCTTAAAGCTGAGTTTGAAGCAGCAAGGATGAAAGAC